TTCCTTGTTTTTTCCTTTTTTTTTTTTTTTTTTTCAGATGAAGCTTTCGCATTTCTCTGTTTTAAAAAGCATAATCAGTGATTGATCTTTGCTGTTTTTCAGCTGTTGAGGACAAATAGAGGGTGCTTCTGAATTAAATGCATCTTTAACAGTTTCTGGGAATGTCTGAGATAGAAGTTTAAATAATTACTAACATGTTTTATTGAATAGTACTGAAAGGACTCACTGCGGAGTCTTCCAACTTATCAATGCTTTGCTCTTTCACTACAGTAGATAAAATTTCATTCAGTGGTTCTCTTGATCTACTGGAAAGTCAAGAATTATTTTTCTCTGAGAAACAACAAACTCTTATCTCCACTGCTTGCTCGTATTTGCTGTTTTGTTACCCAAGTCCAGTTAATGCTGGATTGTAAAAATTCCACCAGGTTCAGGTGTGTTCATTTGTTTCTGGTAATCACCAAATGCTAGTCTGCTGCTCACAGTATTGATCAGAAGTTTTCATTTTGTACTGAGTGACTATACTGTATGACTGAAAAATTATAAATCTGGACATGCAATTTCATGAAGACAGAAATGTGAATTAGCATGTTTTGTGTAGAACTACATAGCAGGGGACTTTCTTATCTTGAAATCAACTTAGTGGTTTCCTTCCTCCACCAGGTACTCATAATTCTCAGTCCGTAGAGTTTTTTGTTAGATTTATTTTCCCTGTTATTTCCTCCACCATCAAAGTACATCTGTTTCACCTGTTTGTACACTTGTCCTTAGGATTTTTGATGTGTTTCTTAACTAACATAAGAAAAACATTGGGCTTTTCTTTCCTTTTAGAGTTTTGAACTTTGGCAGTCTTTAACAAAAGGATGCCCAATGGACAGCATTAAAGACCTCTAGATCTTAGTCTGCTAATGGCTGAGAACTGAAAATCAAGTTAAATCATCAATGTCTAAGGATGAAAGTCAGAATAAGATTGGATTTCTAGAATATTTTGTTGTTACTCTTAAGTATTGGTAGCAGCTATGCAAAATAATAACTATTCTACTATTGAAATATTCTATACACTGACACTAATACGTCGTGTGATAGCTTATCTAAGATTGAATACTTGAAGGGAGCATATAAACAGCAGGGGGAATGGCTGTTTACAAGGCTGGATAGTGCCAGCCCTTGTCCTTGCCAGCCCTTGTCCTCATGGGGGACTTCAACTTCCCCGACATATGCTGGGAATACAACACAGCACCGAAGAAGCAGTCTAGGAAGTTTCTGGAGTGTATGGAGGGTAACTTTCTGATGCAGCTGATGAGAGAGCCTACAGGAAGAGCTACCCTGCTCGACCTGCTGTTCACAAACAGAGAAGGTCTGGTGGGAGATGTGGAGGTCGGGGGCTGTCTTGGACAGACCATGAAATGGTAGAGTTCTCGATTCTTGGTGGAGCCAGGATGGGGAACAGCAAAACTGCTACCTTGGACTTCCAGAGGGCGGAATTTGAATTGTTCAGAAGACTAGTAGGGGGAATCCCCTAGGTTCCAGTCCTAGAGAGTAAAGGGGTCCAGGATGGCTGGTCACTCTTCAAGAAGGAAGTCTTAAAAGTGTAGGAGCTGGCTGTCCCCCTGAGCTGCAAAATGAGCTGGCAGGGAAGAAGACCAGCGTAGATGAGTAGGGAGCTATTCTTGAGGCTCCGGGAGAAAAAGAGAAAAAGAGAATCTGCCTCCTGTGGAATAAGGGACGGGCGACTCAGAAAGAGTACAGAAAAATTGTGAAGATGCGTAGAGAGAAAATCAGAAAGGCAAAGCCCAGATTGAACTCAACCTGGCTGCTGGGGTAAAAAGGAACAAAAAAAAAAAAAAAAAAAAAAAAAAAAGTGAGAACAGTAAAAATTGAACATAATTTTAACTTCTAAATTATCAACAAAATATGGATTTGTTTGACATTCCTAACTAGAAATCTGTATAAGACTGTTATTGCATGGGAATAACAATGTTGAATCAAGCAAAATTAGACTAATTGAATCTGAGCATTTCATTGAACTCATTCAATTTGTCTTTAAACAAAAGATCAGAAATGTGTGTGTGAATAGCTGCAGAAGAGAAAGTGGCTGATAAAAATAAATTATTTTAAATGTACTCAGTTTGTCTAGCACTAAGTGGCGTTCTGCATTGATTTGCCAATAAAATAAGGTTGTGCACAAGAGTGACCTTTATAGGCATTCTTTAGTGAAGGCTGGATTTAACAAATTGTTACTGTTGGAAATTAACTTGAGGTAAAGTTTCCAATGGTAATTCGGTTGAAGAAAGGAACAAACAGTTATTTCTTAATAGCTTAATAGATATTTTTTATTTTTTTATGTTAGCGTAATTGCAGTGAAGTGTGAAGTAGAAGTGTGTCTTTTAGAACATACGATTATTAGGTACTTATATTTCCTAATTGCTGAACAGAAATTTAGTTTTCTAAATACTGAAACATACAACCAGGGCATAGCCTGCTGAAACACAAATTTTCAAAGTTTTGTCCTAATTATATTATTGTATGTATTCAGTCTGTGTGCAAAAGTCAACTACATCATATCAAGTACTATTTGAGGCTTGATATTATCTGGCTGTTTACATCTTCCATGCTCGGTTTTAAGATATCTGTACTGGTACTTCAGAAACAGCTGTGTGATATGACTGTATCCCCAATACAGTTCTACTCATAAACTCTTTTCAATTGAATTTTTTTTGTCATTACATTTTCTGTTTTTCTGCGAAGTGTGGGAGAAGATGAGTACATTTCCTGTTGTAAAGAATGAAAGCTGAGATGCATTAATGTCTTGTTATTCTGGAATAGAGCGTCAGGTCCTCAGCCCTATGGCAGATGCTGAATGTTCTTCCAGTTATAGATTCATTTTGTTCAAGCATACTCAATGGCTTCATGAAAAAAAAAAAAAAAAAGAATAGGCAAGACTTACTTTTAAAAAGTCTGGAGATTCATGCAGAATTGATTTTTCATGAGGGATGATGAATAGCATATCCCAGTAAGATAGAAAATCTGGAATATTCCAAGCAGCCATTTCCCCTTTCTCAGTGTCAGGCTCATACCCATCACTACTTCAGAGTTTAAGGCAACCCAAGGATATTCCTAGCAACTGTAGTTAGTTTGTGTGGTTTGTAGAGTACGGAGTACAAAAGGATACAGGGATCCTGATCTACCCTTCCTTTCCTTCGTATTCAAGTAGGAGAAAAAGGAAGAATGACCACAAACATTGCTCTTCTGTTTTGAGCAAGGCTTACAAAGCCAAGTAAAGGCCTGTTTTATAGAACTTCTGTTTGTAAAAAAGCAAAACGCACACCTTTACTGTCTACATTAAGAACAAAAGTTGGTTTACTGAATATTGAAGGTGCTTGTTCCTACAGGAGAGTATCTGAGTCCTGCTGCTGAACTGCTTTAGACCTGAACTGGACTTCTGTATTTTATTAAATGAGCTATACTTATTAAACTTAGAATAGGCAGATTTGCGATACTGGCTTATACGTGGTTTACTGGGTATGTATGCTGAGGTGACTGAGATGGAATTCTTGGATGTTTTTTTTACCATATCAGACTTTTATTTTTGCTTCAAACATATAAGAGGTGACAAATTATTTGATTTTTGTGTTTTGTTTTTTCAAAGATTGTTCTTTTATGGACTCTCTTTTTCCAGTAAATTACTGCAAACAATTTCTGTTTTGAAGCCATAGCATTCTTTTTGACCATGCCCATCCACCTTTTTGTTTCTATAATTCAGTTTAAACCATCTGTGTTGAACCATTCTAAAGCATATTTAAGGTTCAAAATTATGTAGCAGGGATATTAGCTTTTGCTTTGTTTTTATTTGTGCTGGGTACACAGTAGACCATAAAATAAATATATGAACAGCAAAAAAAAAAAAAAGGTGCATGTTTTGATACCAATTCTGGGGGCTGACTATAACTACAGATGTTCTTTTAAAATTTTTATTCGTGTGTAAAAGTCTGTATTGGCTGTAATTGCAGGTTGATGCCGCTGAGAATGAACCAAAAAGCTTTATCTTTATGAGTGAAGATGCATTAACAAATCCTGACAAACTGTTGGTCCTAATTCATGGTAATGGTGTTGTCAGAGCAGGACAGTGGGCTAGGAGACTTATCATTAATGAAGATCTGGACAGTGGCACACAGATACCATATATAAAGAAAGCTATTGAGGTAAGTGAAAGTGTGTGTATGTACATTTCTGTGTGTATGTATAGGCGTGTGTACTAATGTAAGAAGAACCATGAATCTGAAATGTTGTAGTATTTTAATCTGTATTTTACATTTTCCTTTATGATCATCTTATTTGTGATGCAAATACTTGATATTTTAAGAACTTTTGTCAAATAGATCTAAGTTTTTCTCTTACAGTAAAATTTTTTTTTAGTTTTATATCATTCTGTGGCAGCATTGCCACGTAGGGTAATATGGTATCTAATGTGACAAGAGCCCTTAACAGGCAATGAGATGCAATACAAGGCACTACAGAAATTTGTTATGATTTGAAGTGTTTTCTTTTACATTTCATTAAATTTGTACATATTCTCACTCAACGTCTGTTGTAATCTCGTGATAACATTAGCTTTCATGATAACAGCAGGCTTTTTTGCTAGACTTGTACTGAATTTATTAGAGGCACAGTCTTTTTCAGTTTTGCACTGAATACTGATTCACTGTGATTCACCTATCAATACTTGACAGTTAAAAGCATTTACATTTTATGGACACTATTCCGTTGTAGTTTTGTATGTATAGGAGAGACAATGCATAATTCGTGTAATATTTTTAACGTGGAACACTGAAGTATAGTGCATCTCTTGCTTCCTACTGCTTTAGTGAAACTTACTGTAGTAAACATTCAAAAAGCCTATCCAAAATTAGCTGTTATATTTGTCAAGATGCTTTACCCTTAATATCAGCATTTTCGTTGTGATAGTTGCACATTTTGCTAAGTGAAGCTGAAACTTTTGCAATTTATGGAATCGTGGTATAGCATTGGTTGGAAGGGACTGTAGAAATCATCTAATTCCAACCCTCTGTAATGGGCAGGACTACCACCCACCAGCTCAGGCTGCCCAGGACCCCATTCAACCTGTCCTTGATCATGTCCAGGGATGAGATACCTGTGGCTTCTCTGGGCAGCTTTTTCCAGGGAGTTAGTCACCAACCTCTGAGCAAATAATTTCTTCCTCACATTTAATATTAATTTCCCCTTTTAATTTAAAACCGTACCCCATTGTCCTATCCTTATCAGCCCATGTAAAAAGTTGGTCTCCCTCTTTTTTACAGACTCAGTTGAAGTACCAGAAGGCTGTAGTGAGATTTCTCCAGAACTTTCTCTTTTCCAGACTGAACGAGTCCAGATCCCTTAACCTTGCTTCCTATGAAAGGTGCTCCAGCCCTTTGATCATCTCTGTGGCCCTCTTGTGAATTCCCTCTGACAGGTCCATGTTTTTCTTGTGTTGGTGGCCCCAGTACTGCAGGCAGGACCTCACAAGGGCAGAGGACAGTCACCTTCCTCCCTCTCCCTGTGGCCATCCCTCTTTTGATGCAGCCCAAGATATAGTTGCCCTTCAGAAAACAGGTAGCTACATACCAGTTTGCCTTCCTTTAACATAAAACATTTTAAATCAAGACTCAAGGGCAAATGCAAAAGTACTTAGAAGCTTCTAAAGTCTAATAGAGATTTTTAGTAGGTCAGGTGTAGAAGATTAATTTCAAGAGTGTGAGTTCCAGAGCTTTTCTTAAGAAAGCTGGAGTGCTGTAGTTGCATACATTTTAATAATGATGCTTACATGCATGCACTTTTTTTTTCCCTAAAGATGATGCTGTTGTGGCTAACATCAGATGTTGAGCATTTTGGGGATAATATCTCTAAATGGAAAATCTTGAAATCTATATTTCTGGGAAAGGAGAATTCTAGATTCTTTTTCGTGTTTTTTATCAACTTAATGTCATGATTGTGTCTATGGAATAGAGGGAAAAGCTCTGTTCCCTCAAGCTTATAACCTTAAAAACAGGCTTTGTATTTCTGCATTTTGAGCACTTTTTTAAAAATCACAGAAAAGCAACAAAAGTGGTTTCATGACAAAGTATCTTCAACATTGTAACCACGTGATCACATCAGGACCTCGGTCTTGATGCTTTTATCTTTAGATTTTCTTCTTTAACATGTTGGGTTTTTTAATTGCACTTTAGTTGAATAATTCCAACTGTTGTAATAGCCACTCTGCTCTTTTGTCCATCATAACACTGTGGCAAATATACTAACTGTGTAGAGCACGTACTATCTGCAATGATTTTTATTATGTAAAATCAGCTATAGAGCATATCAAATCGTATTATTTTAAACATGTTGGTATTATTGGTATCATGGTATCTCACCGTAGTGAGAACTGAAAGTCTGTCTGGTTACATAAGGCGATATCAATAGCAGTCAAACCCTGCTGAAGGGACTTGGAGTCATTACGTTATGACTTAAAAAAAAAAAAAAGAGACAGGTCATTACTTCTTGTACAGATCATATAAATTACTTTTCCAAGTGCAGGAAGTTATGGTAGAATGAGTATAAAGGTTCCAATTTTAGTTAGTAAAAATTGTATCCTTTTCTGCGTTTTCTGGTATTCAATCATCTAGTTGATTTAGGCATTTCTATTACGTATGAAATGAAAATAACTGACCCAGATAGTAAATGGCCTGAATGAAAATTGTGATAGCTCCTCATACAGTGTTGCCAGTTTGAAGGAAGGAATTATATTCCTTGATATTCTAGTGTTTCTTCTTAGAAGAGGTCTTATTTTTGAGCAAAACCAGTAGACCTCATCAAAGCATAAGATTACAGAGCTGATGAGAGGAGAACTTGGATTTCATATATATATAATAAACTGTGAATATGAAGTGGCTAATCATATCTAGGATTTGAAAATTCCCCTGAGTGTGAAACAAGTTCATATAGCTTAAAACATTTGCTGGCAACTAGGTTTTCATTTGCAAGTGTTCATTTACTGTTTTGAGCACCAAAATATTTGAGAGACATAAAACTATTAGAAAGCATCCAGGAATGCTACGAAGATGATGAAGGGTCTGAAGGGCAAGTTTCATAAGGAGCAGCTGCAGCCCCTGAGTGTGCAATGAACAGAGCACAGGAGCTGAGAGGAGCCCTCATGGCGGCTGCAGCTCCTCACAGGGAGCGGAGGGCAGCGCTGAGCTCTGCTGTGTGTGACAGCGACAGGGCCGAGGGAACGGCATGGAGCTGCGTCAGGGGAGGGCAGCTGGGGGTCAGGGAAAGGGGCTGCACCACAGGGCGGGGGGCACGGCCCTGAGCTGCCAGAGTTGAAGGAGCATCTGGACACTGCTTTCAGACATAGGGTTTGGGTTTGGGTGGTGCTGTGTGGAGCTGTGAGATGGACTCATGAATGAATGATCCTTTTGTGTACTTCCGAACTTGGGATATTTTGTGATTGTACTAAATATAGTTTAACCCAGCAGGCAGCTAAGCAGCACACAGCTCTTGCTCATTCTCTCCTCACTGGCATGGAGGAGAGAATCAGAAAAAGGTGAAACTCATTGGCTGAGATAAAGGCAATTTAATAGGACAGAAAAGGATGGAAAACAATAATATTAATAAAAACATGTATGTACTAAGAAGTGATTCAAAGTGCAATTTCTCACCACCCACCAACGCCCAGCCAGTCCCTAAGTAGCGACCCTTTCCATTCCGCCAACTCCCCTGCTTTTATAGTTTCATATGATGTCATAGAGTATTCTCCCGTTTGAGAAAAGACTTAGAGACCTGGGTCTGTGCAGCCTGCAGAAGAGTTAGGGAGGATCTTATCAGTGCTCATAAATATCTATTGGATGGGAGTCAAGAAGATGGGGCCAAGCTCTTTTCAGTGGTGCCCAGCGTTGGAACAAGGGTCAACAGACACAAATTGGAGCACAGAAAGTTCCAAAACAGGAGAAAAAACTTCCGTACCCTGTGGGTGATGGAGCTCTGGAACAAACTGCCTAGAAAGGTTGTGGAGTCTCCTCTGGAGATACTCAAAACTTGCCTGGATGCTTTTCAGTGTATCCTACTGTAGGGAACCTGCTTTACCAGGGGGTTAGACTAGGTGATCTGCAGTAGTCCTTTCTAGCCCCTACAATTCTGTGATTCTGTAACTTACAATATACATTTGCAACACCTCTGTTTTCCTTTTAAAACAAAACCAAAACAAAAGTCATAGGTCAAAAGCATTTCTTTTTCTTTGCTGCTTTCCTCTTCAGACAGTGATGGATCTACCACAAGCAAGTTTCTGTTTATTTCTTGGAAAAACTGCAAACAGGAGTGCAAAGGGTGGATATATCAGTATACAGTGGATTTAGCTCTCATATCCAGAAAATTAAATGAAGGGAAAAGAGTAGAAGAGTAGTATTTCTTTCTGGCACAACCCTTTCAAAAACAAGAAAGAAGGACAATAAACAACCTATAATAAAGTGTGTGTGAAATCAGGGAGAAATGGAAAGGCTTAAAATTTATCAGACTTCTCTTGGCTTGGGGCTGATACATACTGGAAAGAAAAGATCCAAGGAGAAATATCCTAATGGGAATTCCAGTAGCTAGAAATCTTTCTTTTCATCTGAATGGTTCCTGTAGGTAGCACTTCTTCTTCCATCTTTTATATCAAACTGTATTGTGTAGACTCAGTCCTGTGTGTAATAGGTGTTGGAAGTAGTTTGCAAGGTTTTATACAAAAAGGAGGTAAGATTAATGTACAAAATTAGAAAATCAACTCTCACAGTGTAGAAAGAGATTTCCTCTCATAGTGCAAAATAAAAAAATAAAATTATAATACAATACTGAAGCTATTCAGTTTTTATGAGTAACCAGATGTAAATCAAGGGAGGAATTTCAACCTCGCATGCATTTTGAGTAAATATCTGATTCACTGTCTCATAGAGTCAGTCTTTTCTCTGTCACTTTTTATTTAGATGTATATACAGTAACTGAAGCAGCACCAAGAAGAGACAGTGAGAGACAGAGCTAAGTTATTTAATTCACTAAGTTATTTAATTCACTGATTAGGGATTTTGTTTGGGGTGTCAAAAACTAACATTTTATGCTTCTGATTTCATGGAGATAGCTCAGAGTCTCCCATAACCTGTCAGTCACTGGGCATTTCTGGAGGTTAGAT